ACAACAAATTCAGGACACTGTTTACCAAATTAAAACAAAAATATATTGATTGCCTCACACAAATAGAAAAAGTTTTAACGAGTGCACACATTAAAGTTGGTCATTGCTCACAATCTCTCTTTTTTAAATGTTTATTAATTAAAACTATCAAAACTATCAAATAACAATTGTGATAGATTGTAATCACTGACGAGGAGCCACATTGGTTGTTAACAGTCTTTATTTACAGCCATGATGGAAAGAGGAAGGAAGCACCATATACAAGGGACATCACTCATAATAATAACAACATTATAAATATAACTAATACAAGAAGAGTGAGTTCCCTTGACCTCACAATTATCTCAATCTATTACATCCCTTTACCCTTAGAACACAATAACACATCTCTCAATAGAACAATTGATAGTATCCTAAAATCACCAATTATATTGTAACATGAACACTATGGTAGATTACATCCTTACAAACAATGCACAATATGCCACAACATAATCAAGATACAAAACAATGATGTCAAAGTCCTTTTGACCTTTAAAATCATAGGTCTAACTTATTTGGGACTTTGATTGTCCTGCTTGACCTTCTCAGTGGTTTTTGATTTGGTGACTCAAGATTCTGACCATCTGGATTCTCTATCTCAGGAGGTCAGGATTTAAATCATTAACTCCAGAATTTACATTTTCTGACTCCAGACAACTTGGTTCACTCATATCAACAGAACTTGGTTGTAGAACAAACTGAGTTGGTGTGAACTGTTCAGATTTGGTGGGATTGATAGATTCACACTTATTATCTGCACAAGTTATTTTTAACTTTATAAGACACAGGTCCTGTACATTGAACAATTTGACCTGGTATCCATTTTTCCTTTCTCCCATAATTTCTTAGATACACATTATCATTAACTGCAAATTCTCTTTCAATGGATGATTTGTCATGATTTACTTTTTGTGTATGTTGATGTTGGGAAACAGACCTTTGAACAGTTGGATGTAGTAGGTCAAGATGAGTTTTAATTTTCCTACCACATAGCAATTCACATGGTGCAACATCTGTTGTTATATGAGGAGTTGTGCGGTATTTGGCTAATAACCTGTTTACTCTTTCATTGTCACATTTAGCTTCTTCTGTTTGATGTTACCCTTTTAGTTTCTGTAAGTGCTAATGATGTTAGCAAAGTTGTTTGATGATCACATTCCTTCTTACTTAAAGCATTTGAAATTGCCATATCACCATAATCATTTATTAAGTTACAAATACTTTGTTTAGGCAACTCTGACTGATAATGGACTGTATCTTCTCCATCTTTTATATTATCTTCACAAAGGTTTTTATTTCTTATTTTATATGGCCTTAAGTCATCATTCACAGACTCTTCAGGCCAACCATTCCTACAGTACTCATATACTTTTATTAAGCACTCATCTTTTTGTGTTTCTCTTTTAATATCATTCACATTTATATTGGAGTTATCCATGATAGTGAAGAGAACAAATACATCTTCTGGTACATAGCTCAGGCTTTGGTTTTTTAAAGGTAATCTACTAAGACTATCTGCACTATTCTCAGATCCAGGTTTGTATTTCAATTCATAATTGTATGCAGTTAGTGTGATAGCCCATCTTTGAATTCTTGGTGAGGCATGCTCAGGTAGGGTTTTGTTTTCTCCAAATAAACCTAGCAATGGTTTATGATCTGTAAAGATGGTGAACTTCCTACCAAACAGAAACTTATGAAATTTCTTAACACCAAAAATGATGCCTAAGCCTTCCCTATCTAACTGAGAATAATTTTTCTCAGCCTGGTTCAAAGATCTACTGGCAAAAGCAATGGGTCTGTCACCCTTCTCATCCATGTGGGACAAGACTGCTCCTACACCATCTGGTGAAGCATCACATGTTAATATAAGTCTTTTCCCTGGGTCATAGTGAGTTAGTAAGGTGTCAGAAGACAAAGCCTCTTTTGCTGTATTAAAAGCAGCTTCTTGTTGTTTACCCCAGTGCCAAGTTGCATTTTTCTGTAGCAGCTTGTACAGTGGTGATAGTTTACCAGACAGATTTCCTATGAACTTTGCATAGTAATTTATCAAGCCCAAAAAAGCTCTTAGTTGTTGGGTATTTTCAGGTTTGGGTGCTTCTTTAATGGCTTTTGTTTTCTCAGGTTGAGGTCTGATACCTTGCTTGCTTAATATATAACCAAGAAAACTAATTTCTGTCAGCATGAATTGACATTTATCTTTGTTTATCTTTAAACCTTTTTCACCAACAATTTTCAATACTTTATCAAGTGTTTTAAGATGTTCAGTGTCATTCTTACCAGTTATGTACACATTGTCAAAGTACACACAAACATTTGGAATATCCTTAAAAATACTGTCCATGACAGCTTGGAAAATTCCAGGGCTAGATGATATGCCAAAACATAGTCTTTCATATTGGTAGAGTCCTTTATGTGTGTTTATTGTCGTATAGACTTTTGAATCTGGATGCAGTTCTAGTTGAGTGTAAGCATGACTAAAGTCTAATTCAGTGAATTTGTCTCCTCCTGCCAAATTCAAAGAAATTTCCTCAATGTTAGGTATAGGGTACCTATTTAGCTCTATTTGCTTATTCAGTGTAGTTTTATAATCTCCACAAATTCTTATAGAACCATCCTTCTTTAACACTGGCACAATGGGCGTTGCCCAATCGGAATAGTCTACCTTCTTTATGATACCATTAGATTCCAATCTACTTAGCTCATTTTCAATTTTATTCCTCATTGCATAAGGTGGAACTCTAGCTTTGCAGTATCTTGGATTTGTGTCTTTAATGCTTAACTTCACTGTTCTATCATTTAGTAATCCAGGATTACCAAAAACACATTTATTTTCAGATATAACTTTATCTAGTGAAGTAAGACTAGATTCTTTTACATTCTTCAATGAACAAATACTCTCCCAATTTAACTTAAGATCACTTAACCAGTTCCTACCTAGTAATGGTGGTCCATTTCCTTCAACCACAAGAAGAGGAAGTTTAACACTTTGACCATTATAACTTACATGAACCATACACTCTCCTATTACCGGAACATTGTCACCAGTGTATGTTGTTAGACACTTGTGACATGGCTGTAGAGGCACTGATCCTCCTGTGACAGCGTCAAAATCTTTCTTTGTTATGACTGTTAGAGATGCTCCAGTGTCAAGTTGGAAGCTGATGCTCTTACCGTTGATATAAACTGGTACATTGATGGGAGCATGACTTATTGATTTCACAGAGAACAGGTTGAAATCCGGCTGCGAATCAGTTTGAGCATTTTCACAGGTAGAGTGGTTCATTGGTTGGGTTAGGTAGTCTTGGTGAGAGTTAACATAGTGCTGCCTTTGGTTGCGGTACTGTCTTGACTGGCTAGATTTAGCAACAGACGAAGACTTTGCAAAGCAGGCCTTGGCAATGTGACCTTGCTTACTGCACTTATAACAAGTTGCAGACTTGAACTTGCACCGATGAGATGCATGGGGACCTTTGCATCGATGACATTTTTGATAATTATTACTAGATTTAGATCTAGGATTAGAACGTGCAGGCTGTTTAGCATAAGCATAAGTTGGAATGCTCTGATGGGGTTGGTGTTTGTTGACTAACCTGCTGTTTACTGCATGGATCCCTGGAGGCGTTAGAGATTTTGCCGCATCTGATGACTGCTGGATTGAAGTTGCAAGTTGTATTGCTTTTTCTAATGTTAGATCTGACTCGAGCAGCAACTTTCTTTGAATATCAGGGCTGTTTACACCTGTCACAAACTTTTCACATAGTCTGTCAGACAGCGTTTCTCCAAATTCACAGAATCTACTTAAATGACGTAAAGCAGCAACATATTCTGATATTGACTCGTTTGGTTGACGAGTCCTACCGTCAAATCTAGCTCGACATAGAAACTTTGATGGGGTAGGCGCATGGTGGTCTGTTAGCAATTTGCTCAGCTCGTTAAAGCTCTTGGTAGTTAGACTAGCTGGTGCGCATAAGTCTTTTAGTAGCCTAAATTGTTGAGGCCCTATGACTGTTAACAAAACAGCTCTCTTTTTGGCTTCTATCGTCACGTCGTTAGCTTCAAGGTAAAAGCTTAACCTATCTAGGTAATCTTGAATGATTTCATCATTCGAATCAAATTCTTTTATTTGGCCATACAGCGCCATTATTCTAGAAATACTTAGCTAATTAGCTCTAGCAAACCTCTTTTTTGCGTAAGTAGGTGCTCTTTCTAGTAGATTATTTATCCTTCGTCGCCAATGTGATAGATTGGCAAACGCTGACGAGGAGCCACATTGGTTGTTAACAGTCTTTATTTACAGCCATGATGGAAAGAGGAAGGAAGCACCATATACAAGGGACATCACTCATAATAATAACAACATTATAAATATAACTAATACAAGAAGAGTGAGTTCCCTTGACCTCACAATTATCTCAATCTATTACAACAATAACATGCTGTTTTTTTTCTGTGTATGTTTTGTTTTAATTATGATTTTTGGTTCTCATTAACATTAGTTTTTTCTTGTATAAACCTCATTCAATGGCGGAGGGGGGGGGGGGGTGGTTGTCCAGGGGGTTAGGGGGGTCATGATCAGACATTAGAATTATGTGAAAAGATAAGTGCATGACAATTTCTACTAAAGTACAAAGTGCTATCTTTTGTTTGAGGTAAGTTTTCAGTTGGTGCAGATATATGTTAAAGCTTCATCATACTTCATGTAGGTTGAACGTGGTGTAGGTTTATTTTTTTTTGTATTAGGTTTTGGTTTATATTTATTTTTCATTCTTTAATTGTATATATACCCATATGAATTTACATCTAGATTTAGACATTATTCACAAATGTCCAGAGCAAGGCTGGGTGAATGTTTGTATATTTACATGAAGTACAATATTTACATGCACGTACACATACATACACCTACATACATACCATCCTTATCCTAAGCAATGAGCCATCTCTTCCTGTCATTTCAGATTATGCCAGACTACTATCATTTTCAACACAGAAAAGTAGCCAAGCGGTCTGCTTATGCCAGTACTCATTATCATCAACCATTAACAGAAGATAGTGATGTGAGTATCCACAGGTTTTGTCTAAATATTTACCAAATAATCTTTCCAGCTGATATGTTTCAAGCCTTGTATACAAGGGGTATCTCTGTGTGAAATGGCAGTGTATATGTTAGCAATAATTTCATTGGTCTGGAAAATGTTTTGTAAGCAGAAGTAAATATTTAAACTTTATTTACACTTGGTTTGTTTACTGTAAGCACTAGAGCACAGCTAGTCCAGCATACACTTGCTAGATAAATCTGTTCATACTTTTTTACTATTAATCATATTTTTTAGCAGGCTAAAAGTAATAAAAATTGTTTTATTTAAATTTTAAGGAGCAAATATAAATGCAAAGAATCCCCTTTAAACCAAGTGACCCTTTGGGGAGATGAAGTAGAGTTCATATGTTTCTTGACCTAGGCATATGAAGGGAAGGTGTGGTCAGCACTTTGCCCAGCTGCCTTTACTTTCCCTAACTTAAGTCAGGGACCCATCAGAGGTGGATGGACTCAGGGACAGTCTACTGACTTTGACCTGGGAATTGAACTCGAGACTTTTGAGCCACGCTCCGATAAGGAGCATATATAAGAAATTTAAATTTTCACTGATTCAACCTCAAATGTGAAAACTTGCAAGAATTAATATTTGTTAGCTAGTAAAGTAAAGAGGACATGATAAACTAAAGCAGTGTATGCTTTCTTTCAGATTTTATGGGTAGAGCAACAGGTAGCAAAGAGTAGACAGAAGCGCAGTGTCATTAATCAGCGCTTCAATGATCCAAAATGGCCACTTATGTGGTATTTGGTAAGTTGAAAAATATAAAATATTTCTATTAGATGAAGTGAAATGTATTCCACCTGATAGATTGTTAGTCACAGAGGCGTAGCGAGAGGGAGGGGACATATGTCCCCGGCGCCGACCTAGGGGGGGGGGGGGGGGGGGATTGAAAATTTGAGGGTGGGGGGTGCAAATCGAAAATTTGTCCCCGGGCGCCGGGAAGGGTCGCCACGCCTCTGGTTAGTCAGGTTGGCTATACAAACAGATCATGTTTATATTAGTTGGCTGGGCTAATTATCATTTTTTTCTTAGTAATACTGTTTGTTACATCTGAGGTTTTTATTTGTAATGACTAGGAAGTTGAAATTTTATTATGTGTTTCAATATTAATTATTTGCTTAAACTTTCTTTATACGTCATAAATATTCGTTCTCTAATTTGCGCCTTTTACGCCATCTTCTATTAACATTATTATAAACCTATTTTTAATAGCTTTCATAATTTTATCTATAGAAAATGATATTTCATTCGACAAAAATAATTCTGACAGTATAAATCTAGTTAGTTAATATAGAATTATACTAGATACGTCCATAAAAGTTTCCCTTTCAAACCTGACGGTCTATGGGGCAAGTGAGGTACAGTTCACTTGTTTCTGTGACCTCGGCATATGAAGAGATAGTGTGGTCAGCACTATGCCAAGCCGCCTTTACTTTCCCTAACGTGAGTTATGTACCCATCAGAGTTGGGTGGACTCAGGGACGGTCTACTGACTTGAACCCGTATTCAAACTCGAGACTTACAGGTTAGTAGTCCAGCTCTCTACCGCTAGACCACTCCGTCCCAGATACGTCCATGCCCAATGTAATATCTTATATAGATTTTTGGTAGAGAGAAATCAGGGAATTCACTAGGACCAACTTACCTGTTATACAGACATTTGGTAGAGAGAAATCAGGGAATTCACTAGGACCAACTTACCTGTTATACAGACATTTGGTAGAGAGAAATCAGGGAATTCACTAGGACCAACTTACCTGTTATACAGACATTTGGTAGAGAGAAATCAGGGAATTCACTAGGACCAACTTACCTGTTATACAGACATTTGGTAGAGAGAAATCAGGGAATTCACTAGGACCAACTTACCTGTTATACAGACATTTGGTAGAGAGAAATCAGGGAATTCACTAGGACCAACTTACCTGTTATACAGACATTTGGTAGAGAGAAATCAGGGAATTCACTAGGACCAACTTACCTGTTATACAGACATTTGGTAGAGAGAAATCAGGGAATTCACTAGGACCAACTTACCTGTTATACAGACATTTGGTAGAGAGAAATCAGGGAATTCACTAGGACCAACTTACCTGTTATACAGACATTTGGTGGGATAATTTTCCTCGATACCAAAGTCATATATCGGGTGGGAACAAGCGATAATTTTCCTCGATACCAAAGTCATATATCGAGTGGAAACAAGCGATAATTTTCCTCGATACCAAAGTCATATATCGAGTTGAAACAAGCGATAATTTTTCTCGATACCAAAGTCATATATCGGGTGGGAACAAGCGATAATTTTCCTCGATACCAAAGTCATATATCGGGTGGGAACAAGCGATAATTTTCCTCGATACCAAAGTCATATATCGAGTGGAAACAAGCGATAATTTTCCTCGATACCAAAGTCATATATCGAGTTGAAACAAGCGATAATTTTTCTCGATACCAAAGTCATATATCGGGTGGGAACAAGCGATAATTTTCCTCGATACCAAAGTCATATATCGGGTGGGAACAAGCGATAATTTTTCTCGATACCAAAGTCATATATCGGGTGGGAACAAGCGATAATTTTCCTCGATACCAAAGTCATATATCGGGTGGGAACAAGCGATAATTTTCCTCGATACCAAAGTCATATATCGGGTGGGAACAAGCGATAATTTTCCTCGATACCAATGTCATATATCGAGTGGAAACAAGCGATAATTTTCCTCGATACCAAAGTCATATTTCGGGTGGGAACAAGCGATAATTTTCCTCGATACGAAAGTCATATATCGGATGGGAACAAGCGATAATTTTCCTCGATACCAAAGTTTAAAATTTCGATGTAAACAGAGCTTTACTAAATTTGACTCTTAAAAAAAATGGAATTTTTATTTTTAAAAAAGTGATTTGCCTACGTAATGAAGGCTTATTTATAAGAAACGTGTTGTAGCATCATCCCACCCCAGTTGTTGAAGTCAGTTTAGAGTTGAGAGATAAATACCTCTAGCATCAGCCAGCTTGACGCTATTTATCATAGCTCTTATCTTTATCGCGTGTGTAGTCTCTGGTGTGCGCCGAAGGTTGGGCAAATAGATACGGAAGACTGGATACACGTATGGACCAAGCGTCTAATATATTCTACAACTCGCAGAACTCTTGGCACTTACTCTGATACGACTAATCCACATTTTAATGCACAGATCACTCATCTTCTAAAAAAAAAATAACGTTACCATATTTTTTACAGAAATTATGTTACTTTTTAATTGTAAAAAAAAAAAAAAAAAAAAAAAAAAGCGGGAGCGAACTGCCCATAATTTTCTAGTATATTTTTATGTAACAGTAAGGGTTGGAATGTCACTTCCATTGCTATCGGGCTAAAGATATATAGATCTAGAGAATTGTGACAACACTGCTCGGTTTTTTTTTTTTTTTTTTTTTTTTTTTTTTTTTTTTTTTTTTTTTTTTTTTTTTTTTAGAAAACACATTGATGTGAAAAGTTATTAAAATATGCTTTATGATAATAGTATAAAAATTATGAAAGTCTGGTTTGTGAGCAATCGGTTGCCGGTAATCGCACAGAGGTATATAGAAATCTACGCACAGAAGCTAATACTTGTATATAAAGTTTCGTCCATCTAATTGAAACGGTACTCAATTTATCCTTTTTTTAGAAAACGGAAATAGAGTTAAGTACCACTTCCGAATATTGGAGCTCACTCATAAATGGTAAATAATCTAAATGTAAGACTAACTAAAGGTGATGACTTCATTGGTTGATGTGATGATCTATAATATAAGGCTGGTGGTAGTGAGTCAGTCCGTCCGTCATCGCTATAGATTTTGGAACCATAAAAGTAAACATCAGCATATGCAGTGCTTTTTACTTGCATCGAATTGTCTTATTATAAATAGTTAGGTTGGGTTTATTTATATAGCGACTTAAATCTATTGTATAGTTGGCACAGTTTTTACCGTTTGAGAAAAAAATGTGTATGTGTTTAAAATACCATTTTTTTATAACCATATTCATTTTAAAAATATTCATTATTTTTCCTAATCTTACAAGCTCTCATTCGAAAACTTTTATATCCGTCAACATATTGTATTTGGCATAAATGAAAAGTTGGATTCCTCATGTATTTGATAATCTAAATTTCCATCATCTCGGAAACACCCAAAGCTTACAGTCGGCTTTACAATATACACAGATATGGTATTTTCGTGACCTATTTTTTTCGTTGCTTTTTGCTGTTTTTATCAGTTTGCAGTTTTTTACAACTAAAAAGTCTACTACTTATTTATTTATTAAACAATGCTCACCGTATTTTCAGTACTTGTTCCTCATGCAACAATAAAACTTTTCTCATGCGGGAATTGTGATGGCCTTCATAGAAAAAAGTTTATGGTACATAATATGCAAATTTTGAAACTTTTGAATACTACAAAGTGTACGATTTTTTAGACCTTGTAAAACTCTATTACCTATTTTAAAAAGTTGTCGTGACAAAAGGTTATAATATATACTGAAATATAAGCAGTTTAAATTTGATTGCTATAAGTGCATAAATAAAAAAGCATCAGCATTTTTAAAAAGTACCGAAACATTCACAATTGCATATGTTTTTTCGGGTTTCCATGACAACCAAAATTGTCTTCAAACATCTTTTTTTTTTCTGTTTAATACTTATTTTCATGTGTCAAACATGGTAAAAATATTAAAAATGCTTTATATCTTAAATTGTAAAAATTAGAAATAACCTTAGCATCTATTATATATAATAATGTGTGTATATATATATATATATATATATATATATATATATATATATATATATATATATATAAAGACAGTAATTCATTACCCCCTTTAAGTGCATCTAATCTAACTACAACTAAAACTCAAGTTTGTTTACATGTTTGAATATTTATATTTATTTGTTTGTTTGTTTGTCTGATTGGCTACGGGTGAAAATTGCATATGTTTTTTCGGGTTTCCATGACAACCAAAATTGTCTTCAAACATCTTTTTTTTTTTTCTGTTTAATACTTATTTTCATGTGTCAAACATGGTAAAAATATTAAAAATGCTTTATATCTTAAATTGTAAAAATTAGAAATAACCTTAGCATCTATTATATATAATAATGTGTATATATATATATATATATATATATATATATATATATATATATATATATATATATATATATATATATATATATATATATATATATATATATATATAAAGACAGTAATTCATTACCCCCTTTAAGTGCATCTAATCTAACTACAACTAAAACTCAAGTTTGTTTACATGTTTGAATATTTATATTTATTTGTTTGTTTGTTTGTCTGATTGGCTACGGGTGAAAATCTGCACTATGTGTAGAGCTGTAAAATAGTATGTAGGTAGAGAACAATTTTTGTTTTCAGACAGATTGCTAATCCTATATTTATTTAAAGACGTTAATTAATTTATTGATTTATTCATTGGTAGATTTTAAAAGTTTAGAAAAACGACTTTACTTTGAGTGAATAGTGACGTCACATAATTTGTGTACAATAAATGGCGGCTCCAATACAATATTTCGTTGCTTATTCAGATCTTTAAGGCGTTATAAAGCTAATTTTCTGTCGGCTATAACTTTAACAATACGTCCGTTTGCTGTTTTTATTACGTTCCAACACTTATATATATTTTCAACTGTCTTTTTCATTTAGTTTTACAATAAATTTCTCTAGCTCTACAATCTGTCCAAGAACGTTATTTATAGATCTACATCTAGAATCTAGGTCAAACCAAAGATTAGTTAGTTAAAAATACAATCCATTTTAAAATTATAATACAATTTTGAGTTTCTTTATTAAACTACTTTAGTCCTTAAATACTTGATATAAATCTTTGTGATTTATCTATCTAGATCTAGAATAGGTCTAATCTAGATCTAGCAAGAGTTACGCAAAAACTAGACTTAAGCAAATGAGTCGTAGAATCTCGATAATTCTACATAGATTTAGATAATTATGAGTTTCTATACTAAACTATTTAAGATAAAATTTAATTTGAAAGTTACTAGACTTAGATCTAGATCTAGATAGGGCCTATGCGTGTAAATCAAGTTACATAAGGAGACTCATAGTATTAAGTTATACCACAAAAAACATCAGTGACGTTTTGAGTCTAGACAGCTAAGTTGTTAGTGTAATAGGCTTTCATGCGGGTGGCACGGTTTCTAGACATATCACGTCAATGTTTAAAAAAAAATCAATTTTTTTTAGATGTGAATGATAAATTTGACTATCTGAACTTGGCGGGATGCAGGGCAGATGAAGTAGAGGTCATCTGTTTCTTTGTCCTAAGCATATGAAGGGATAGTGTGGTCAGAGACATGCTCGGCCGGAATAGTTTTTTTTTAAACGATAAAAACATGTTGTCTGAGACTTGGCGGGACACTGGGCAGGTGAAGTAGAGTTGAGTAGGTCACCTGTGATGTCAGTATATGAAAGGATAGTGTGGTCAGACCAATGCTCAGCCGAAATCGGTGTTTTTAAAAGATACAAAAACGTCTTTTTGAATGTGGGGTCTGGTTTTTTGTGACGATAAGTGACAGACGTGATGTTTTTAATGGATGACCCCCGGAACCCACAGTTATCCAAGGGATGACGGGTAGTCTAGTTATTACATAAAAGCTTGTTATTAAAACGTTTTTTGTGCATTATATTTTAACTAGCCGTCCCGGCCAGGCCCTGCTCTGGCTTCTGTGAAAAACCTTTCCGTTAAAGACCATTACCTGTGTGTTTAGTAATCATCATAAACCCGGCATTGCCCACCCAAACCACAACCAACCAAAACAACAAAACGCAAATATAACGCTAACACAATTACAAATACAAACGAAAACAAAAACCTAGCAACAAACCCAACCACAACCACAAACACCAATACAAACACAAAGAAAAAACAAACGAAAACAAAAACCTAACAACAAACCCAACCACAAACACCAATACCAAAAAAAAAACAACGAAAAAGCAAACGAAAACAAACCAAATCCAAACGCAAAACCAACCAAAAACACAAATACAAACCCAAACAAAAAAAACACAAACAAAAACGAAAAAAGAAAGAACAAAAACGAACCAAATCAAAACGCAACCACTAACGCAAACCCACCTAAACACAAAGAAAACACTAACGCGAACATAAACGCCCGGTGCAGAATCGCCTGTTTTAGCTTAATAAACGACTATAGTACCCCAACTTATTCATAGTTTTTGCACTCACTTAAACGAACGCGCCTGTTTCAATTTAATGAACAATTATAATACTCCAAGCTTATCCGTAAAATACCTAAAACATTTGCACTTGATCAATCCCCGCTAATTATGTAATTATTTTTTTCCCAACACCAAAACAAAGTAATTAAAAAGTAAATGCTTTTCAACTAATGCAATGGTTTCATAAAGGGAAGTAATTGTGTTTTGCCTAATTTATCAAAGGGAAGTAAGCGCTATAGGACTAAATAAAAACATAATTAGAATTTTTGTAAAAGATGATATTTTTTTAAAACTTGTGTTTAATGAACATGCCGACAATTATTACTATAATTTGAAAAATGAAAATGATTTCCCAACACTTTCAATAGTAATTTTTTAACTCATAAATTTAGACAAATGCGCACGATAATTTTCTAACACTTAAATCCATCGATAACCAGCGACAAACAAACATATGCGTTACAGAATTGAGCTTTATATATTAGATACTTTAAAATTTTTAATACAAAAGAGCTGCATTACTAAAAATTATTATTGCGCACCAAATGGACATAAAAAAAGGTTCGTATAATAGCGCGGTAAATAGTAGGTTGTAGGAGATTTTAATTATCTCACAAATAATCAGTTAGACATCCAATTAAGTCAAATTTGATGTCAGATTACATTGTCATCGGATCTTGACCTACGTTCTAAGTTATCGAAATTTTGCTCGGCAGTTTCGATTTATGACAGACGAGAAAGCCAGTCAAATAAAAGCGTGTAATAAAAATTTAAAAAATCAGATTTTGAATGCACTGAAAATAAATAAAAAACTGGCTTTGTATTTTAAGTTCTCACTCATTTATAAGTTTACATACAAGATGTAGCAGTAGCCCGTTAATTCTATCACAGTTCATCAGTAGCCCGTTAATTCTGACACAGTGTGGTAGCATTGCTCCTCAGGTTTACCTTTTTGAAACACACACCTGAGCTGAATTTTATTTTTGGTTTGTTAATTCACGACAGCGACATTACGTCCATAAGCAACATTGTAATTAATGTGTATAAGTCAAAGTTACCAAGGGATGAGAGAACCATCTTTGAATTTGTTACTTCTATGAACTAGAATGCTGTGATTAATCAAATTCACTCACGTTTTTTTTTTCTTGGCTCTTTCTTTCTTGGCTTGCACAATATCCCTAACTAATAAGCATTTTAAAAAATATAAAGTATAGGTCTAAATTTTGCTATTATTTATATTTTCATTGTTTTTATTCTGTATGTATTTTTGTGTAGAATCGCGGTGGAGGCTTGGATATGAATGTACGCAAGGCTTGGGATATGGGCTATACAGGCAAAGGAGTGGTAGTGACAATATTAGACGACGGTATAGAGAAAGATCACCCAGATCTAACTAAAAATTACGTAAGTAAATATTTTTAAATATGCTTCAGTTGATATGGATGTTAAATATTGTAGTTATTATTAAATTTAAAAAAAAAAACATTGTTTGGTGGTTCACTCTTGTTTAAAAAAAAGTATTAAAATGTCATTTACTAAAGAAACCTTTTCACCAAGTGTAAAATTTAAGTACTCTAATTGATTTTATGTTTATTAATCATGTTCATTCCCTCACAAAATCAAAGAGGAAAACCTTGTATTGATGATACAATTTTTCTTGCAACTTCTTGGCTATCTCGTGTTGTTCAAACATGTTCCCTTGGAGCCACCCTCTTTCCTCTAAACAACAGGTGTTATTTCTACCTCCCCGTCTCGATGAGCGCAATGTTCAAATGCCACACCAATGTTTTATTCAGCGGCTTCCACCTGCTGCCCCTCTGCTCCCTACACTAATACAGCTCTTTCTTCCTTCTCTCTCTCTCTCTCTCTCTCCCTTTCCAGGATTCTTGGGTTGTTTTCACACAATCCGGGGTGGTGGGTTGGTTCTAAACAACCTAGGTTGTTGGGTTGTTTCGACACAATGTATGTTGGTGGGTTGTTTCCAAACAACCTGGGTTGGTGGGTTGGTTCTAAACAACCTGGGTTGGTGGGTTGTTTCTAAACAACCTGGGTTGGTGGGTTGTTTTCCAACAACCTGGGTTGGTGGGTTGGTTCTAAACAACCTGGGTTGGTGGGTTGGTTCTAAACAACCTGGGTTGATGGGTTGGTTCTAAACAACCTGGGTTGGTGGGTTGTTTTCCAACAACCTGGGTTGGTGGGTTGTTTCTAAACAACCTGCGTTGGTGGGTTGTTTTCCAACAACCTGGGTTGGTGTGTTGGTTCTAAACAACCTGGGTTGATGGGTTGGTTCTAAACAACCTGGGTTGGTGGGTTGTTTTCCAACAACCTGGGTTGGTGGGTTGTTTCTAAACAACCTGCGTTGGTGGGTTGTTTTCCAACAACCTGGGTTGGTGGGTTGGTTCTAAACAACCTGGGTTGGTGGGTTGTTTCTAAACAACCTGGGTTGGTGGGTTGGTTCTAAACAACCTGGGTTGGTGGGTTGGTTCTAAACAACCTGGGTTGGTGGGTTGTTTTCCAACAACCTGGGTTGGTGGGTTGGTTCTAAACAACCTGGGTTGGTGGGTTGTTTTCCAACAACCTGGGTTGGTGGGTTGTTTCTAAACAACCTGGGTTGGTGGGTTGGTTCTAAACAACCTGTGTTGGTGGGTTGTTTTCCAACAACCTGGGTTGGTGGGTTGGTTCTAAACAACCTGGGTTGGTGGGTTGTTTTCCAACAACCTTGGTTTTTGGGTTGGTTCTAAACAACCTGGGTTGGTGGGTTGTTTTCCAACAACCTGAGTATACAATCATAAAGGTGTTGAAGAAAAAGGTCATAATGATTCTACATTTCTATCAAGCAAACCCTAGTCACGGGGGTCAGTGATGCAGTGGTCGCATGAGTCTCTGACATCGATGATCGATACTAACCTCTAGACCTCTGTGTCTGGCGCTCCGTATATCGGACCCGAATAGATCAGAACGAAAGATCAGTCCCTTCTCGGCTTTCCTTTTTAAATTCATCTGAAATTATTTTTACGCTAACTCTTAGATTTTATACTTTCTTTAGTATGATTAATTATAATTACTTAAAATATCACTACAATTTTACATTTTCAAAAGTTTTCTTAGATTAAATTGGTAGAATTTAAAGAAACGTATTTGTATAAGTTATTGTAAGTTGAAATGAGCAGACATAAGATCAAACACACAGAGGCCAAGGTTTTCCGTATTCGAATACTTAGTCCATCGATTGCAATTTATTTTTGACTTTCTGCTTTTACAATAAACCTGGAGTGATCTTATATAAACTTTCTCGAATATTCTTATATGAAACAACAGGGGATGGCAACTCGGGATATAGACATGATTTTAAATCCATTTTAAATACTTAAAATTTAAAAAATAGAATAAAATCTCGTTAGAAAAAAGAATTGCGCACCAAGTGAACGCCAAATAAAATGTGCATTATAGTGCGGAATATTATTAGTACTTTATAAATTCACATGCGTTTTTTGAGAAATCGAAAATAGTGTAAATTAGTACTTCCGGTCAACGGAAATTACTCAAAATTTGACAGAAGGTAGAGAATTAGATCTCTTACTCACATGTGAAATTTCATTTATCTATCTGAAATAGTACTTAAGTTATAGGCTTTTGAAAAATTCAAAGTAAAAAAAGTACCACTTTCGGTTATAGGAAATCGCTCAAAAGTTGATACGGACCTACGATTTTGATAAAATACTCATATATGAAATTTCATCAACCTAGCTTTAACGGTACTCAAGTTATCGTGTTTACAGACACACAGACATACACACAGACATACGGGCAAGATTGCAAAATTATGTTTTTCCGTATTAGTGAGGTGTAAAAGGTCAAGATTTGTAAAAATCTCGATATTTTTTTTTTTTTTTGCATGATTACAAGACTTTTTCTATACTTCGTATAATCGAGAAAGTAAAAAAATACTATTTTAAAAATATTTAATGACCCCTTGAATAGCCTAATCATGGTTGACTATTAAGTCATTATATTAAAACTCTACACATAATTAAAATATTAACTACCTGTCGTATGCAGAATTAACACTAGTAGAGATTTAGAGTAAAGGGGGGGGGGGGGGGAAGACGTAAGATGCAGCATAACGCAAGCTACAGCAAAACTTATGTCACAGTAAAACGCAAGCTACAGTAAAACGTAACGTTGGTCCCTCGCTAACAACACGAAATAGCCTGTGATTCGCTATTTTGTGAGATAAAAATAATATTCGCGTAATTTATACCTAGATCAGCCAGATATTATGTCACATTCGCTGCAAACGTTCTCTCCGAGATCTGACATAATAGATAATTAAACAGTATGGCTAATCAAATTCCAAAATATGCATTTTAGGAGCTGCTAGTCAAAATATTGCAGTGCTTAAATAGGTCCATTAATTAATTATATCCTTAGAGACACCTATCTACATATGATGTGCCTTCACGGAGGGACGAAATTCTCGGTCATTATGTTTATGCCTCCATGTTTTCATTGTCAACATTCCAAGCCTTGGGCCAGACCAGAAACACGAACAGGTTGGGAGGAAGAAATGTGGTGATGCTTTTTCTCCAGTTGGCTTGTTTTTGAGAGACACTTCTCACAATCTCTTATCACGCACAACGAGAGAGATTAAAACAACAGTGTCAAAACTTTCCAGCTGCAGTTTAGAAAAAGGTTTTGTTCAAAGCTTGTTGTAAGTAGACAGATGATGTATCCCGTCTTTTCACATTCACCGACAGCATTCAACTAAATAAGCTGGCTTTATGAACGTATTCGTCTCTTCTTAATTGTTTATCTCCACCATGTAATTACAACTTTATGTAAGATTTCCAGTGTGTACTCCACTATTTTTGTGGAGCTGTGACCCGAGAACGAGAACCGAATCAAAAAAAGTAAAAAAAAAAAAAACAACAGAAAGACTTTCATATTAAAAAAAACGTTATACACTCGTATTAATCGGATCCCCACCCTAACAGTATTTTTACTTTCTCGTATATACGAAGTATAGAGTCTTGTAATCGTGCAAAAAAAAAAATCGTGATTTTTGCAAATCTCAACGTTTTACAGCTAGCGGAGTCGGAAAAACATAGTTTTGCAATCTTGTCCGTAAGTCTGTGTCTACAGCTAGGTTGATGAAATTTCATATATAAGTATTTTATCAAAATCGTAGATCCGTATCAACTTTTGAGCGATTCCGATAACCGGAAGTGGTACTTTTTTCCTTTAATTTAAAATAAAAAAAACCTACAACTTGAGTAGTATTTCAATTAGAAAAATGAAGTTTCACAAGTAAGTAAAAGATCTAATTCTCTGCCTTCTGTCAAATTTTGAATAATTTTTGTTGACCGCTATTTCCGATTCTCAAAAAACGCATGTGAATTTATAAAGTACTAATAATATGCCGCACTATTATGCACATTTTATTTGGCGTTTACTTGGTGTGCAATTCTTTTTCCTACGAGATTTTATTCTATTTTAAAAATTTTAAGTATTTAAAATGGATTAAAAATCATGTCTATATCCCCAGTTGCCATCCCCTGCTGTTTCATATAAGAATATTCGAGAAAGTTTAGGGGAGATCACTCCCGGTGTATTACTACTGTAGAAGTTTGAGGGGGGGTGGTGCAAATCGAAAGTTTATCCCCGGGCGCCGGGAAGGGTCGCTACCCCTCTGACAAACACACAGAAAAACAAATGAAAACACAAACACAACGCAAACTCAATACGCAAACTCAGACGCAAAAACAAATACAAACACATAAGAAAATGCAAACACAAATGCAAAAAACAAAAAACAAACACAACGTAAACTGAAACAAAACGCAAACACAAGAAAACACAAACACAAGCGCAAATACAACGCAACACGCAAATGTAAACACAAATACAAACTCAACGCAAACAAACAAACGCAAACACAACGCAAAACGCAAACAAAAACGCAAAAACATACAAACACAGAACGCAAGTGCGAACACAAATACAAACACAGAAAAAAACACAAACACAAACTTAAACTTATAAATACTATAAGAGCCCATTTTATTGTCCAAACTATGAAGTGAAAAGCTACTATATTTGTGCGACGCGGGCGAAAACGGCATTTTTTACGGCTGTTTGACATACCAATAGAGTCAGTCTAAAAAGTGAGATGAAAAAGATGTTGAGATTTACCAGTCCCGCGTTAGTCCCATATAGTTTAGACCCAGTCTAAAAAGTGAGATAAAAAAAAATGTTGAGATTTACCAGTCCCGCGTTAGTCCCATATAGTTTAGACCCAGTCTACAAAGTGAGATGAAAAAGATGTTGAGATTTACCAGTCCCGCGTTTGACCCATATAGTTTAGACCCAGTCTAAAAAGTGAGATGAAAAAGATGTTGAGATTT